GGGGTCCCTTGCCATGGAAGGGCGCACTCTTTGAAATATCTCTGTAAAAGTAAAAAATTATTTTTGCATTGGAAAATATGCAACTTTATTAACTTTCACTACGTACTAAATATCAGTGAAATATCTGAAGCGGTTCTGAAAATATTAATTAATTTCCATTTTTTTCCTAAAACTTCAACACTCCGAGTTTTTGTAAGGAAACATTTTTGGACCATAGTTTATATAGCAAACTAACATTAATTTTTCATGTAGATTCACACCCTTAAATATTGGCATATCATTAAGGAACACCCTGTTTACAATGACGGTGCCGTCTGCAAAGCCCAGTATTCACCGTTGGTTTCGCTTAAGAACACATCACTTATATAAATATTAAATAGGATCGGCCCCAATACAGTGCCCTGAGGCACACCGTATTCAACTACCCTGAAGTCGCTAGTTGTGTCTTGAATTTTTACACATTGCTTCCTGTTGCTCAAATAGCTAGATAGCAAGTTCATTGGTGTTCCTCTTATACCTTTACACTCTAAGGATTCTAACAGCTTTGTATGACTAACCGTATCAAAGGCCTTAGTTAAGTCCACAAATATGCAAGCCGATGGAGTTTTGTCATTGATTAATTTATACAACTGTTTTGTTAGTTCCGCTATTGCATCTTGAGCAGATAGGTTCTCTTTGAAGCCAAACTGTTTATTACTTAAGATGTTGTATTTAGTCATAAAATCTGTAAGTTTCTACTTGATAATTTTTCTGTTATTTTTGCTATGTTAGAGATAATCGAGATTAGTCTGTAATTATCAATTTCTAGTTTACTACCTTTTTTGTGCAACGGAACAATGACGGCTGATTTAAATATGTGTGGAAACTCTCCTGTAGTAAGGCAGAGGTTAATTATGTGAGACAGAGGTTCATTTGTGTAGCTATGCATATTTTTCAAAAGTTCCGCGTGTATGCCATCGACACCAGGTGCTTTACTATTTTTTAAAATGAGAATTTCTTTTGTTACTTCCTTAAACGTAATTTCTCTTAGCAATAGTGAATTAATTTGTTTATTAGGTTTTCTTGTCGATGCTTGGATAGGTGTAATTTTTTTAACGAGGTTTTTTCCCACATTCATAAAATGACCATTGAACCTTCTGCAATACCATACCTTTCTTGTCTGTTATTTCTTTATTATTTTTATCGACAATTTTGTTTACTACTTTATATTTAACTACAGGAAGCGATATATCTTTCACGCACGTCCATAATGCTTTGTTATCTCCAATGTTTTGAATGATCTCAATGCTATAATATTCAGTTTTTCTAAATTTTATAAGACTACTCAAGGTACATATTCCTATAAGTCTTAAATTTTGTGATATTTTCTTCAGACGGATTTTTTAGCATTGAATGGTAAAGTTTTAAGTTTCTGTTGGTGAAGTTAGGCAAACCATTTGTAATCCAAGATTTACGTTTCTTTTCACATTTTTTTGTTTTGATGTTAAATGTACTGTCATCGATACATGTTTGTAGTATGTTTAAAAAATTATCGGTAGCTTCGTGCACGATATTAGATCCGTAAAGTGGAAACCAAATTTGCGCTTCTACAAGTGTGTCATCAACTTTCGTTAGTCAACTTTTTGTATATAGCGTGTTGTATTACTAAGGGCCGATTTTACCAACATTAATATTATGGACCAATGGAAAAATACCTTATCGAACTGGAATTTGACAGAAGCTGTCAAAAGGTCTCTGAATATTAGTGATTTCTATTGAAATATTGAATAAAATCGTGAAAATTCGACTGTATTATAAACAAGACCACTTTTTGATTCCAACATGATGCTTTTGTATAGAAAAAACAGGACAACTTTCATGTATTTTGATATATGTTATAGGTTTACATTTAACAATCCGTTATCCCCCTCAGCGAATGGGTTAATGAATTTCTTCAAAGCAATAGAAACATTATGTCCTCTCCATACTAAAACACAGATAATATGTGTAAGACGTGCCAATCCCTACATCTCCCTGATGCATAATGCAATTACTATTGACATAGACAAAAAATTGTGAAAAATGTTTCACAAATAATGTCTTTTAAGTCCAAAGATCATCAAAACTAGTAATGTTTATTAATCAAATCCAAGCGAACAACCAAAATTTGTATGGTATGGAAGCAATCGATAAGATATTCCGGTTTCATCTGCATTAAATATGTTATCATCTGAATAATCACTCAATATTATGGGCCAAACTTGACATTTTCCAAAAACAATGTTACGTCTTTTCTTAAACCTGTCTAGGCAACCGGAACTACATTTGAAGTAATCTCCAATCAATTTCCCAAATTCTTCAGCCTTTATTTGTAGCATAGGTCCACTTATTGTAAAAGTATTAGCACGCTTTTGTTAAAACCATTTAAACAGCTTATCATCGACTTGGGGATGCAGCGATAGCCGCATTTAATCTTTTGACAATTTGAGTTCCAGTCGTTTTTAATTTTGTCACGGTTTTTCCAAATATTTGACACAGTGGATTTTTTATAGCCATACGAGCATATATTTGCTTGACATGAACCCTGCGCAAGCTCACTAATTATTGTGAGTTTTTCGTGTTAAGTGAATGCACGTTTCGCACTTTTCGACATGTTTATAACTCTAATAAATACAGTATAACGCTGGTGGCCAAGTTCGAATGCAAACTGCGAAGCCAAACCGTCGTAAACGATCTGCTTCGGGGAGCGACCAAAATAGCTCGCATATAATGGATTAAAATAGTCCGCTATAAGCGAGGGTCTATTTTAACCGAGTCTATAATATCCGAGGTTTTTACATGCAATTATTTATAGGATCTTAAATTGTGTCCATTATATACGGGTTTCCATTATAAGCAAGTTCATTATAACTGGATTCCACTGTATTTAGATTCGTTGCTTTCGTCAACCACTAGAGCTAGTATTCGGTATCTGGCCCGATAATAAACTGTAGCCGGATACCGAATAGTAAGTAACTGGATATCCTTTGTAACCCCAGTTTATACATGTGTGGTTCCATTTGACCAGAAAATGATGACAATAAGTATGTATTTACTCCCAGTAATTCACCTTCACGCAGGGTATTTACTTAACTTTTCAGTAGTGAAAATGTTCACATCTTTTCATCTGTTCGCATTTCTTAACGAATACCTACTTACCTAAAAGCCAACGTAAGAAAATCAGGTACAACGTTGGGTCCGCACAGCTCAGTGAAGGCCAAATAATCCATCCGAAATTGTCCGTCCTGGGCAGACAATCGGGATCCGCATCCACCCTGGCGATCAGCTCGCACAGAACGATTCCGTAGCTGAACACGTCGCTACGTTGGTCGTACCGTCTTCCATTCTGCATTTCCGGTACCGCGGTTATAGTATGGTTTAAGATGACAGACGGGTTGATGACGTCAGTTACTCGAATCGCTTGAACGCGTTGGTTTTAACCGCGGTTTTGTTGCAGGTTGTTTATTTTAGAAAAGCGCGTATATTATACCTAATTTCTGATTATTTTTATTATCACTTAATAATTAGTGCGTCTACAACAGTGATATGGAAAGTTTAAAAAAGAAAACTTTCATGATATTAATGGGAGAAATGTTTTTTCCTCAGAAGATATTGTTCATGTGTTGAATCACTTGAGAAAATCGCTCTTATGTTCGCACAAGTTTGTCGTGAATATAATGGATATGACGCCCAAAATTTTAATGGTGGAACCATGGATTTGTAGCTATGAGAACTTCCAGTTCTTTAAACTTTTCCGTATGTCAAAGAAAACATTTATTGATTTAGCAGAAATGATAGGAAAAATCGACGAAAAAAAGATATTAGCAAAGCCATATACAGGTGGTCACTATCCAGTGAGTTTATATGGCCATATTTTAATATTCTTGTGGTATATGGCTACATAGGATACTTTGTTAAGCATAGGAACTAGATTTAAAGTGTCCCCAACAACAGTGATGAGTATAACAAATAAGGTGCTCTACTTCATGCTAAAACTAAAATCAGCCTACATCAAGTTTCCCAAAAATGAAGCTGAAATGAGAGACATTAGTGAAGGTTTCAAGAAGTATCCAGGTAAGTAAACGTTTCTGAATACTGCAAACCTAGGGTGATACCGCCCCCTGCATTTCACACAATTACTTTCCTATTGTTACTTTATATTTCCCCAGATTTTCTCAGTATATTTCCCCAGAAACCGGTCAATATTTACTTGGAGATTTCCCCCTCATGTAAGGCCTAGTCATTCATGTTTTAGAGACAAATAGGTATTTAGTACAATTACTGTATATTATATTCAAACTTTTTTGGTTGGTCCTGATTGATGCCATCACAACCTGTCCTGTAATAGTATTTATTGGAATATACATATGTATTTAGTTAATAAGTTACATCTGTTTCCACTTTTCAGTTTATTATTATTTTTCAGGAGTTATTGGATCTGTAGATGGTACCCACATATTTGTAAAGGTTGAAAAAAGTCATAAATCTCATGGCAGCAGTGGTGGCCGCAGTAGTCGACTCTTCGGTCTCCTGATCAGTCGCCGTGCGCTGTGCGGGTTCGAGTCCCGTCCCAGGAGAAATTTTTCTCTTGGCTATGGATGTTGTGATTTTCCGTAGGTGGTAGACGGTCTCTGACTGTCGAACGCGGAGGTACCACCCGGCGGATCTCGTAGGCGGAGCCAGAATGTGTGCATGTTGCATGCACACGTGTTGTCTCGCTAGAGTCCGTGTGGCGTCCCCCCTTTCCCCTGTATCCCCCTATAGCCCCACGGTACCCAATGGGTGTTTAGGCCTTAGGCCTTCGTGGTAGTTGGAGTATAAAGAAAAAATGGCAATATGTCATTCTAACACTTTATTCACCTATGTGTTTTTAGGATACCCTGGATCTGCTAGTGACTCACGGGTATTTTGAATTGATCTGGACAGAAATAGACATAGAAGCAAAGTGGAAAAGAAATACAATTGCAGACACTTTATTCTTATGCAGATATAACATAGAATAATATTATTGTACCATTTTTCAATTTAGATTGAATAAAAAACACAAATATTGGTTTGCATTTCATTTTATTTATCTCTACTTTCATTTTAACTTAATTATTATTCTACACACAAGGTTTGTTAGTTATCACAAAAGGTATATTACACATTGGCAATGTCTTCCTTGAATAAAACTAAAATATTAGAACAAGAAACTATTTATTACACAATTTAAAAATCTCAAATAAAAACAAAAAGAAATAAATATTAATCAATAATAATACTAGTCAGTGTCAGAATCGTTTGTGTCACGATTTCTTCTTTTTTTTGTCCCAAAAGCTGCCTCAACAATTTCTAAGAACGTGTCCTTTTGTTGTTCTGTTTTCTTCCAATGTTCTTTCAAAAAACTAAATTCTTCACTTCTTATTTTTTCTATCCTTTTCCATTTCTCTTACCAAGTCATCATGCCGAGCAGGTGTTACCTTCCGAGTTTTTTTAAATCGGCTAACTGGTGGTGTTGTTGAGGGACCCAATTGAGTTTCCTCTGGTTGTTGCTGTTCTATTTCATTTTTCACATTTTCTGATGTTTCATCCATTGAATCCTCTAGATTTCATGGGTTTACCTTATGTTTGCATCCTAAAAATTATATTGGTAAGTACTTCCATCTGTTTTGACTAAGAAATCTAAAGGTACACATTTTTGTTTTTTGATGGTTCATACCAGAATTTTTATAATTACAAACATGACAGAAGAAAAATTAAAATATAGTCATGACGTAAAATAACAATACTACATGCTTGCTTAAGATAGTAATGTGAAAGTAAAAGAAGATATTAAACTAACCTAGAATGGAGTGGAGCTCATCAAAAAATGGAGGAATGTCATCAATTATCTCACTTCCTGTTGTAGTTTGATGTTTCATGTAATATAAATAAGTTTTTTGCAAATCCGCAAACTTTTGACGACACCGCTCTCCTCCTTTGTTTCCAAGATGGAAATTATTTTCCTCTAACTCTTTTGCTACGTCATTCCACAATTTGAGTTTTCTAGTTCTTTTGTCGTCAAAGTAAGTACTTTTTTCCTCTCTTAAGGACAACATTAAATGAGTTGCTTCATTATCCATTTCAGAAGGCTTCTTCTTTGTCCATTTCATATCATTAATAGATAGTTGAATGGTCGAGTCATTTTCATTGTGGGGCATAGACCACATAGATTGAAAATCATTCTGAGGTTGAATTTCGGAGTCATTGTGCTCATGCTGAGACCCCAATGGACACATAGATAAAATATATTGCTCTGCAGCAGCAGCATCTAAAATTTCATGCCAAACCTATTTGAATATAAAAAATATGCCACTCTCATAATTGATAAATCTTAAAGCAAAGTATGAGAGGTATCCAGTTCTGATACAGAGTTTATTATTGAATATGTGCATACCATGTAGAAAAAATCACATAATATGTAGGTATCTAGAATCAATAGGGTCAGTTTTACCTTGCACCCCACCTCTTTAATATTTAAATATAACCTCACATCCTCACAAGTACGACGAAAATATCCAATACCCGCCAAAATTCTAACTTGTCACATTTCAAATAATAACCAGAAATACAAAACTACTCCGGAGTGGGGTAAATTCCACAATTTTGCGGTGATAACTATGACATATAATAGCTGATTCATGACGTCAGGGATCTTATAACCAAAATGATAACCACGCTCGCTTGAACGGATCGGTAAATACCAATCGAGAATGGTAAATACCGCTTCCATTTGGTAATTCGCTTGAATTTGATTATTGTTTGTGTTTTTGACTGGCGGTCGTTGACCGCACCGGTGAAGGGTGCGAAATGAATCTTTTACATTTGCTGGTTTTGAATCTTTCTCGTCAAAATTTACTAGGTATCATGATTATAAGCATCTTTGGTAGATTGTTCGATCCGGAATGGGAAAGATCTCATATTTATGAAAACATTTTTGGTATCATCTAACCGTTGCAATCAGTGCACAAACACTGTGACATATGATTTATAGCATAACCGGCTGTCCTATCAATACAAATTTAACATACAGGTCCCCTAGCCATGGGGATGCAGTGGTCGGGATGAATATCACGGCAACAACTCATGATTTGGGCATATCTGGTAAGAACGTATGAAGTGAAACTCGCTATCTTCACAAATTTGAAGATTTTGTAAAATTTCTTTGAAAATGATGAAAGATATGTCTGATTTGGCAGGGTAATGTCGCAGCCAAATGGCAGTCACTCTTTCTGACACAGTCCGGATCGAAAGATGACGATACTCGTGAAATATATTGATACTTCTAAATATAGGATCGTATCGAACATCCCTACTATCAAGATGTATAACCCATGGTACCGACAGAGCTATTTTGCGGCGTCATGGAACTAATTTTAAATTTTCATTTGCATTTTTTCAAGTGTTGTGCAATGATTTTGAGAAAAATGTCACGAATAGTCTTATAAAGCATAGTAGAGTATATTTCAACAGTTGGCGGAACTTACTCCACTGGGACCAGGAGGGTGAAACGGGATATTAATGCACAATCTGGCAACACTGTCGCACCCTCACAAAATGGCCGCTGCAAACCACACAAATCACCGTGTTGTCATTGAATAGCATGGAATTAAACCTTCAGAGTATGTTTTGTGACTGGAACCAAGAGTTGACAGATCCCACACATGTGTCACTCCTTGAAATGCAAGAATCAGCTGTATTCAAATAATGTCTAATATAAATATAACGTAGAATGTGTACTGAAAAAAGAAAAATATGGCAAATTTGTAGTTTTTTTGCAGGTTTTAGCTTTTCTGGTAGCTTTAAGGCATATATTTGGGATTTTCTTAATCGCTGTGAATATAGTGTGGATGTTTGTTCAGTTCCTGAACAACGAAAAATATTCAACTTTATGGATGTATGGATATAAAAAAACCTTAATGGTTTTGTGGGAATATCAATCTAAGGTGCAATAATGGTTCTGATGAACGGCAAGTAAATTAATGAATGTTTGGAAACGAGCAATATCTTTTGGTAGAGCCTGTCATCAGGCAGTGTAGGTGCTTAATGGCTATCTTCAAGAGGTTTATAGGAAAAAACACCCAGTATCACATATTAATTGAAGAAAATAATATAAACATGAATAAAAAATCAACAATAGTAATTAAAACATGAACTTGATTCAAAAATCAAACATTTCTTAAAATTTTGACTGAATTATATGTAATTTCTTAATATCCAATAAGCTGGTGATGTTTTAATGACAAGTTGTCATCTCAAACTTTGACAGTATTTTGTTTTCAACATTTCATAGCTATTGGTTCCTAAAATTTGTTGATTGGAACTTGAAGCTCATTCGCTGTATTTGACGGTCTGTTATCCTATAGGTGGAGAATAACGGACTGTTGTTGGTGAAATTGGCCCTTAAATATGTTGTTTTACCAGGAAATGTTATATTAAGTATTATGATGGGTCGGTAATTAAACTTTGCAATATAATATGTGTCATGCAGCAATCATCAATCAAATCTCCTTTAATAAAAATATGATCTATAGAAGTTTTGGAGATTGAATCTACCGTTGTGAAGTCATTAATGACTGATAGAAAATCGTATTATGCTAGGAAATTCAAGTAGTTCTCAGAAGAAATCTTATGTAAATAATAATGAGTCAGTTGAAGGGGCTCTATAGAGCGCCGTTGTTAATATACGTTTAATATATTTGTTGATAATCAAATGAATGACTTTAATCCTAGTGTTGTGGAGACAGTCGATATTTTTTCCATATATCGAAGCAACCGCGCATGCAGAAGCCTAAATGCCAGCACACCGCGGCTGGTATGATGATCCCAAAGACATTTAGTTAATACAATTTTTTAACTGCCTAATATTAGTAGAACTGGGAACAGCTTTCTCTTGCAGCTTGTTCCACAATCTCGACACCCTCGGGACAAAGGAGCGGTCGTATCGGCCAGTTCTGGATGTACGAAGTTCGACACGGTTAGGATGGGACGCCAAAGTCAGGCGGGTCTCGCTGGCAGGCACATCGCGCGGCGGCATCATGGAAGAGAGCTTTGAGGAGAAAAGCCCGTTGGTGTAGCGATAGAAAAGAGCTAGATCGCCTACGGCCCGCCGGTGCGAAATAGTCCCGAGACACCATGAATAATGTAGTCGGGGTGACAGCACCCCAAACGTGAGAGCAATACTCAAGGCTAGGCGTTATCTGGACCTTGTAGAGAGTGAGCAGGTCATGCGGAGAAAAGTACTTCTTAGCTCTAAACAAGTAGCCTAGCTTTTTCCCAGCAGGTGCAGCTATTGCCGAGATGTGTTCGTGCCAGATCAGGTCCTCGGTGATCTGGACTCCGACCAGCCGAAATGAATGGCTCTTTGACAGAACTCGGCCGTCCATCGAAACTGGATGAGCGCTAGGATGCTTTTTGTTCATCAAAGTACAGTGGTGTGTTTTGGAAGCATTGAACTGTACAAGATTGTTGCCTCCCCAAGCAGTGATAGCCTCCGGGTTTCTTGTCAGAGAGGAAGTCGTCGCTAGTCTTCTTTTTTCCAGCGCAGCGGCAGTGATCGGCTTGTCACTCTGAATTCCTGCATGTAGAGTGCTGTCATCAGCGAAGCTGTGGATTGAGTTGATCGTGCAGAAAAGGAGGTCGTTGATATGTAAGAGAAACAGTGTTGGAGCCAAGACCAATCCCTGGGGAACACCCGCGTTGACGTTGTGGGATGAAGAGGAGAACCCGTCAATTACGACGGACATCTTGCGGCCAGAGATAAAGTCAGCCACCCATCCGCAAAGCTTTTCTGGGAGGCCATAGGAAATTTACTTAAGAGGGCAGCGTGCCACAGTTGATCGAACGCTTTCGTGATGTTAAAGCAACGACATGAGCCTCACCATAAGACTGAATGAGTTTACCCACAATTGCGTGACGTGAGCTAGGAACGCTGGTGCCGAAAAATCATACTGCCTGTCGCTAATCAAGCTGTGACGTTCGAGCTAGTCTAGAAGCTCGCGATTTATGCACCTCTTCTTATAATACTTATAATAGAACGCAGAGCTACAGGCCTGTAGGTATAAGGGTCGGTGTCGGTCTTAGATCGTTTTTTTGTGGATATGAGCAAATTCAAAGTTTTCTGGGAAGGTGCCGGATTCATAAGAAATCTGAAAGAGACGCGAAAGAACTGGAGTAAACTCCGCTGCACACCTCTTCAGTACAATTGCAGGAATCAAGTCCGGACCAGAGGCTTTGTTGATGTCGAGAGACAAGAGCACTAGTCTTACGGTCTTGTGCCTGAATGTTACCTCCCTTTGAATTGACGGCACTTGGGCGTTGGGGTGACGTGCCAGGATGCGTGATCAGGAAGAGATCCAGCAGGCAACTGGCGTGTGACGAGACGCGGGGGAAAAAGCAGGGCTCGTCACCAGCTGGATCAGCCCTTGAGTAAGAGCGAACGCTTCGACTGCACGACCTGCTGCATCGGTCTTGTTTCAGCTCAACTAAAGCTCATTATGGGCATTGAAATCACCGAGAAGAAGTACCTCTGAAGCGGGATGATTGATGTGCAGGAAGTCGATCTGAACGGCGAGGTATTCGAGTAGGTCATCCCAGTTATGGTCCGAGGGAGAGCGATAAAGGCAGCAAATAAATTTGGGTGATGGTTTGGAGTTGAGGCGAAGCCACAGAATGTCCTTCTGATCTGATTCCAAAGAAACATCACTGGAGCAGGAAAGACTGCTGCGGAAAAAGCCACAACTCCCCCATTCTTTCTCAGATTGGAATGCACCTCGTAGTTTGGGAAGTTGAGATGATTAATCAGTGCAGACTCTGAGATTTTTGTCTCCGCCACGAAAAGCACGGCGGGACGATTGGTTTGCATTTAATGATGAACAGCATCAATGTTGCTGTTAATCCCGCAGATGTTCGAAAAACAAATTTTATCTTCGATGTTGTTCCCTCGAAACCACCCTCCACCCGGACATTTCGAGAGTGGAGTGAGTTTACGTCCAGAGTTCTTAGTGCTTGAGGGATCCATCATCATTAATTTCTTTGTTTTGGAAGATAACTGACTACATAGCTTAGGTGTGGAAACATGCGGTACCGCCTCGGTCGACTGGTCCTTGTCTACCACCTTCTTTTTTAGTGATATTATATATCTGTGTCTGCAGTTGAAGTCCTCTGCTACAATAAGCGGACCAGAGTAGTCCATAAGGACTTCCAGGTCCGCCTCCTGCAGCCTGGCACCACACCTGACATACACCGATGTGATCTTCAACGGGACACCTCCCGGCATATTGACCTCCACGGAAGCCGCCTCAATGCTCTGCATGTCGGCATTTGTTCTTATATGGTAGTCAATACCGTGTCACTAGGACTGCCAAGCCGCCACCCCGTCCAGTTAATATATCAGCTCGGATAACATCATAATTCGGGAATGCTAGACGATCTCCCGGATTAAGCAATATTTCCTGTAACAGAGCCACATCTATACTCTCATCCAAAAGTACTTAATGAAATTCCCGTTTTTTGGGAATATCCCTAAGACCCAAACAATTCCAGAAAAGAATTTTGATGAATGCAGGCTATTTACTATTGTACCTAGCCATTTATTGGAAAGATCGCCTGCAAGGCCTGGGTAGCGCTTATCAGGGGACAAATTATCTGCAAGGACCTGAGCGCTGTTGCCAGGTCCACGTTTTGAGCAGTCGAAGGTGAGCTCAGGGCAGCAATGGCAGCTAGAATTTCAACCTTTGCGTTTGCGTATGACTTTACTCGCCTTTGTGCGACGTGCGACGACCTGTAGATTTCTCCTAGGAGTGCATCTACAGGTAGAACTGTTGGCCGGATGGTCCCCTCCACAATTCGTACATTTGCGCGCCTCTTGTCCTATTTGAGGGCACAGATGTGTCATGTGGTCTTGAGCACATTTCAGACACTTTGGAGGTGCAGTGCAATACGATTGCGCGTGTTGATAATTCGAACAGCGGTGACACTGCCCAATGAGTCGAGACTTCTTTTGAACCTCAGCTCTGATAGAGAGCCCCAGCAGTTCATGTTCGTTGAACACTTGCTGTGACTTCTCTGTCTTAGGCAGGATCACCACCACCAAAGGCATGGGCACGCCGCCGTCGCGCTTCAAGCGAATTACGTGGATGGGAGTATATCCCTTCTGTTCGAGCTCCTCTTTGATTTCCTGCTCAGCAGTTGACGCTGGGATTCTTCTAATAACGGCGTGAATGTTACGCTCAGAGGGCAGGGGAAATGTATGGTGACGAACATTTTCCTCTTTGAAAAGACGAATTATCTTCCGATAATCATCTTCGCTTTTAGGTACGATGCGTAACTCAGCATCAACAGCTACTGCGCGATCAATCTTAATACCAAGACTGATAAAATAATAGTTGACAGTGCGTCACTTTGCCGCATCCCGCAGCACAACATGTGTAACACGCCCCTGACGGGGTGACTGTGCCTGCGTGCCGAGGGTAGCATTAGATGACGGAGATGTAGTGTTGCTGCCAGCCAAAGAAGTAGCTTGTGAGACTGAAATATAGTTGCGACTTTCCTTTAAGCTAGGTGCTTGCATTTGACAATGCTTTGGCTGGCTTGCAGAATCAGCAGAAGATACAGACACAGGCGGTGTTATGTCCATTGAATTGGTTTGATTGGGGATTTCTTAGTCGGAAGGGAAGGATATTCTTTAATTTTAAGAATCTGTCGTTTTTACGTCTCTGGATAGGGGTATAATCACTACCCTGTACGTCGTCTTCTGTTTCTGTAGGTGAGGTAGAGCTGTTGTGTCTTCTCTTGGAAATTTTAATAGGACTGTCATCACGGGACATGAATTTATTTAAAGAAGTACTAAGGCTAAAAACCTGGGCATTGAGATTGTTCACGCAGTCCGTCAGTCTCTTGATTTGAGCTGCCTGGTCAGCGATGATCTGGTACAGCCCCTCCTTTTTGCTGTCCCTATCAGTATCTGCAGCTGTCAAAGCCTCACTAGGGCTCGTATTCTCCAATCTCTCAGGTACGCCGCTTTCTACTTCTTCTCTACTCGCTGTGATGGAAGGGTCGCCTGGTGACCCCTCGGACGTGCGTTCCATCTTATATTCGCCTTTTCTCTCAGCAAATTCTCAAGGAGCAAAATTCTGACAAGTTGTCTTTGTCCTGTCTACAGGGGATGCCACAAAAATAGCCGAGGTGGCATACGCTGAACTATAAATTCATTTTCCTAGGTATTGAAATAGGTCGTGTGGTTGCTGTCGATGCTGGATTAAGGATTATTCCTAAATCCGAGGACGACTATAGTAAGATCTTTCGACTGTTCCGAGAGGAAGAAGTGCCGCATCACACTTTTCCTCTCCCTTCGGAACAGAACATCGACGCGGTGGCTCGAGAAGTTCCCGTTAACTTTTCGGATACTGAGATTAACGAAAAACTTGAGCAGAGGGGATATAGACCACCTCCTATTATTCGATTAAGGCCTAGTGGCGGCGCGCCCATGCCTTTGGTGGTTGTGATCCTGCCCAAGAGTGAAAAGTCTCAGCAAGTATTCAATGAGCACGGACTGCTGGGGCTGGCCATTCCAGTTGAGGTTCAGAAGAACTCCAGACTCATTTGGCAGTGCCACCGCAGTCCATACTGCACTGCACCACACAAATGTCTAAAATGTGCAAAGGACCACATGACGCATTTGTGCCCCCTCACAACCTCGCTTGAACGAGCAAAATGTGGAACTGGAAACTGCGCTAAGGTCCTTACAACAAATAATAAGTCCACTGTCTAGCGCTACTCAAGCTTTGCAGGCGATCTTTCCTGTAAATGGTACAATAGTAGATAGCCTGAATTTCTCAAAATTATTTTTTGGAATTGTTTGGGCCTAAGGGGCATTCCAAAAAACGGGAACTTCACCAAGCTCTTTTGGATGACGGTATAGATGTGGCCCTGTTGCAGGAAACGTTGCTTAATCCGGGAGATCGTGTAGCTCTCCCGAATTATGATGTTATCCGTGCTGGTAGATTGAATGGTCGAGGTGGCGGTTTAGCAGTGCTGATTAAACGCGGTATTGACTATTATAGAAGCACGAATGCAGAGATGTATAGTAGCTTCTGTGGTGATCAATATGGCGGGAGGTATCCCGTTGAAGAACACATCGGTGAATGACAGGTGTGGTGCCAGGCTACAAGAGGCGGATCTGGAAGTTCTTACGGACTACTCGGGTCCGCTTATTGTGGCAGGAGACTTCAACTGCAAACATCGAGCATGGAATTCCAGGTTGATTTCCACGAGTGGGATTCGACTGTACAACCATGTGATACGAAATGGGTACCTTGTGCATAGTACTGAGGAGCCGACACAGCACCGATTCAATCATCTTCAGGCAGCAGATGTCATTGGCTTCGCGGTATCTAAAAACTGTAGATAAAGAGTCTTTTCTCGAGTTTTGTATGATATATCTATTGATCATCTACCTGTTGTCTCGGAGGTGGGCAATGAGCAGACTTCTGAGGAGGAAGCTCCTCCAAGGAAACGTATTAATTGGGAGCTATACAAGTTGTTCCTTAGAGAGTTTCCCAATATCCCGATCATAGATGATGAGACTGGAATAGATGCCGCCCAAGCGGAGTGGACAAGTTTCATTCAATCAGCTCTACAGCGTGCAGCTGTACTTCATGTACAACGACGGCAGACCTTTTTTCCCTGCGGACATTCGTCAGAAGATCTCCTACAAAAGAGCCGATATTAATCTGTCAATAACATTAGTAGGGCTACGAATCTTGTGAATGAAATGAGAAACGCATGAATTTCGCAACGAGCAATGGAGCGACTTTCTGGCGGGAATGATTGATTCAAGTATTCCTGTCTGAAGGGTCGCAAAATCACTCAGACACGAAAAGTGAAAACAACTCTCGCACATCCACGGTCCTGGGAGCATAGTCTTCAGAACAGAGGATAAGGTCGAGGTTTTCGCTGACGCCATGGAAAGACAGTTCTCTCTCATGATAATGACCTCGACGAGGAACAACACATCGTAAGACCCGTTAGGAGATATTTCAGGGCCAACGGCGTTAGCGGAGGCAATGAATCCTCTTCAGATGACTCTTCTTCAGGAGATTCATCTGAGGCTTCGCATAGCACATTAGCGGAACCCTTCGAGGTTCCGCATCGCACTCCAGCGGAGCTCCTAGGTCATATTTTTAGGCAGCAGAGGTGGCCGCAGTAGTAGACTATTCGGTCTCCTGATCAGTCGCCGTGCGCTGTGCGGGTTCGAATCCCGTCCCAGGATAAACTTTTCTCTTGGCTATGGATGTTATGATTGTCCGTAGGTAGTAGATGGTCTCTGACTGTCGAACGCGGAGGTACCACCCGGCGGATCTCGTAGGCGGAGCCAGAATGTGTGCATGTTGCATGCACACGTGTTCCCTCGCCAGAGTCCGTGTGGCGTTCCCCCTTTCCCCTGTATCTCCCTATAGCCCCTCGGTACCCAATGGGTGTTTAGGCCTTAGGCCTTCGTGGTAGTTGGAGTATAAAAAAAATATTAAAGGCCTCAAGGTGCGTCAAGCACCTGGGAAGGATCAAATCACCAACAAAGCGTTGAAGCTTCTCTTGCCCAAAGCTCTGACATATTTGGTGACAATAATCAATGCGATGCTCAGAACCCAGCACTTCCCTGCGGGGTGGCAGACTGCTGAGGCCATCATGATTCCAAAGAAGATGGGTTCAATATTTCCTCAGGATTATCGTCCCATTAGTCTGCTGTAGCATGAGTACTGGCATCTTGCTTTTGTATGTCTCAAAAGTCTTTGACAAGGTGAGGCACGCGGGTCTCCATTATAAACTATTACAAAAGGGTTTGCCCTTTTGGCTTCTAAAACTACTGAAATCCGTCCTTAAAGGAAAGAAGTTTCGGATCAAAATTAACAATATTTTGTCAACGACATGGCCGGGCTGATGTTCCTCAGGGCTCGGTCCTTGGACCAATCCTTTACTCGCATGTTATCCACGATGTCCCTTGCCCCAGCAACTGTGAAGTCTACCTCTACGCTGAAGACACTGCACTTATCGTCCAGTCGTGTACTGGTGATCTACGGTGGACGAAGTACCAGAGTGGATGGAATGGTGGCTAATTGAAATTAATCATTCTAAAACGTAGGCTATTTATAGTACCAAAGAATGATGCGGCCCGCCAGCCGAGGTTTCGGTAGACGGAAATCGTATACCTTGGGCAAATTATGCCAAGTATCTTGGTGTCATCCTTGATAAAGGCATGACCTGCCAGAAACATGCAGCAGCGTTAGAAACAAAATTCCAAGTTACGTTTCGTTAACTATATCCTTTGTTATGTAGATCCTCTAAATTGAGTTTAGTAAACAAAGTTCGACTATATAAAATTATTATTAGTCCAGCTATTACTTATTCATGTGCGTCTTGGTGTTTTCTTCCAAAGACACACTTCCAAAGTCTTCAAGTACTGCAAAGCAGAACTTTACGTACGATTTGCAACGCTCCATGGCATGTCTCAAACGAGACTACACGGAGACCTTGACATTCCTTACTTGAGGGACTATGTCAAGCTTCAGACGCAGCAACGTTGTAGTCATGCGGAATCGCACAACAACGCGTCACTGAGTGGACATTTTAGTAAGCCCAAAATTACAGTCTAACAAAACCTGAATCAAAATTTGTTTTTAGTTCACCTCAAAATTAATCCTTGTACCAAGTCAAAGAAACCTAGGTGATTCCTCTTAAATTAATACACTTCTGTTTTTCTTTGCTCTTCTCCTTTTTTCTTCTCTTTTGCTTTCTCTTTTTCCTTGACATTGTCTGGTTGCTGGGCAACCAGGACTGACATATTTGACTAACATACATTAGGCAGTGACAAATGGGCAAAGGTCCTAGGGACCGTCTTGTCTCTGGAGATCCCAAATAGTTCCAATTTCGATAGACCGTACCTCCGGTGTCGATGATTGTTGAGATGCTTTCGTTCGCTTGTCCACAGACAAAAGACCAATCCTAGACCATGCTTGTGACTATCTAAGAAGCGCAAATCAGCTGTCCATGGTTGGATGTCTTTTTGGTGAGACGGACGAAAGCATCATGTTTAGTTTATTCAGTGGCAAGTAGACCACATCTACTTTACAGTAAGAATCGTCAGCCATCTAGCGGTCACGTGGTGACTGGACTACTAAATGTGAACTGAGATCCCTAACAGTGCCAACTGATAGATGGTGTTTTGCGCTGTCTTATTACTGCAAACTATGTAGGCAGATTGTTAGAAACAATTTCAATGTTATTCTACTCTTCAAAATATGATGAGTATGTGAATGCTGATATGAATGTCGGTACATTTAAAAACATGTGTATCAACTGCTGGAGATCGAAAGAATAGAGCACACCCTTATTATAGTTAAAAATTGGCTATAAATGACGGACGTTATCAAAATAACTAATTGATACCATAAGCAAACACTTATTGAATCAAACCTTTGATGTACAGGCAATAATTGACAAAAATCAACACAAAGGCGAAGGGTGTTTTGGAACAGATGAAAAGTAAGATAGATGGCTTATTGTCTTCGGATCAAATGTATGATATAAGACTCATCAGATATATCTCCATAAGTGAGCAGCGGTTAAAATGGAAAGAATCACAGTTAGTGAAGAAATAATAAAGGACGCATGTGCGCATGAACGAAACATACACAAACACGCAGCTACAAAAAATAAGCGGAACAAGGTGTATAAGGACTAAGTAGAATTACAATAGAAAAATAAAAGGTATGCATAATATCAGTACCAGAACGGTAAAAAATATACATACAGCCTTAGTTTAATTTTAAGTGCATCACTATTACGGTGAATGCTATCTAGCATTTTTCTATTAACAGATCCCTCAGCTCTTTGGGCATCTAATGTCTTTTAATATTGATGGCATCTTATTGAATTCCTTAGTGCAGGCGTAGGCTGGTGACTTTTTGAACATTGACAGTGTATGCGCGGTATATTTAAGTCCTGTTTTGCTCTAGTGCCATAGTTCGTGTTTAAGTCCTTGTTCTACAGAAACTGGCCCCTGTGATTGAAGGTGTAGAGGGCGCATTTATAA